AATGCAGTGGACCAATTGACAAGCAACTCCATCATCTGAACCGATATACGGGGTATAATATACTTCTGTGTTGGAAGACTGCAGACCACAGACACTCAACAGGTGCTCCACCGTCAACATCCAATAATACAATTGCGAAGCATTTCCGGCCCTTACAATTCGCTGTCATGAGTCTCCACCAGCATTCCGGAGATGGCCAGATGAGTTTCAGACGTTCTGAACAGTTGTTTACTTATGCAAAAAGCAGCAATAGCAGAGTCAAGACTTTGATTTTAAAACTATCTTCCGTGACTGACTGAAATTCACGCACTGCCAAAATTGCATTTTTCTGATCTTTACCTTTGGCTAATCTCTTCTTCGTCCCTGTTACCTTTGACAGTGTGGCAGACTTTATGTCGGCCTCGGAGACTAGCACAGGGTTTTCGCCTGGCGCAGCATCCTCGCAGGGTTTTGGACGTCCTTCCAGTATCCAGTGACGGTTCTATTAATTTTACAAAACGATCACAAATTCGTGAATTTCGATCCATGATGCATGGACAACTTGCAACGCCTCGAACTACTAGTAAAACGATTCCCCAGAACGCTGCTGATGCTTACAAACTACAATACAAGGGCAACTCACTACGTATGTAGTCTGTCAGACAAATACAATCATAAACATTTCACTACAATGGGGCTGTTAAGTGTGACGTCACGGCTCATTCGATACGCATAGCAACGGAGAGCACTGGGGACAAACAAAAGTCGCGTCCTCTGGATGGAACCAGATGTCAAGGGCAACAGCATCTAAATGACTGGAGAGACAGTTGTTTTTCTTTGCTTTTTCTTCAAGCGATTGTTGTCGCTCTTTACTCCTTGTTCTTTCCTCTACAAAACTCCTGTAGTCGTCGAGTGCCTTCATGATGGCTGTGCAATTGGCTACCCACAGTAAAACTCCGTGTTTGAGAGTGCTTTGAAGATGTTTCGCGTCCTGATGGATCAAAGTATGAGCGCTCCTTGTGGATTCGATTATTAATTGGTGAGTTGTTCAAGAAATCGGTAATCATGCAGTTTAGGGTCCCAAATTATTTCGCACTTTCCCAGTGTTCAGTGTGCTGTCACACGCGTTTTCAGTGTACTTTCACATCATGAACTTTATTTTCATGAAAACCGAGGACAGATCAGACTGGGTACTGCTGGTGAACACTGCGGAGCAGGGAGCCGAACGTGTTGTCTTCCGCGCGAACTCTCTGTCTCCACACGAACTCGCAGAGGTACGTCGGGAACAACTCTCGCGAGGTGCCGAAGTTGCGCTTCAGCTGGCGCTTGGCCCGCATCCAGATGTTTTCCACGTTGTTGGTGTGGATCGTTCGGTCGTCCGGATCAACAAAGTTGTCGTGGACGACGACATCGTGCTGGTATACGCCACCGTCGATGTTCCTGATCTGCGCGTATGCGGCCCAGGCGTCAGGGATGATGCGTGAGCCAGGCAGAATCCACAGGAAACAAAACTTTGACAAAGGAAACAAAACTTTCACACCAGAAAAGAAGAAGCATAGTGAAAGTACACTGAAAACGCGTGTGACAGTACACTGAACACTGGGAAAGTGCGAAATAATTTGGGACCCTAAACTGCATGATTACCAAGAAATCAGTGTCTTCTTTCTGTCTCTGCCCTCACGCTGGCACAATATCAGCCTCTATATCCATGACAGCTCGCACCTCCCGTAAACTGCATGACTTAGATATATTTTCGCCCTCCGTGGTGATTGAAGACCCATGGAAGAATTTATTATGTTCAGAATGATGTCCTAAGAATATAAAATAAAATAATTCTAGGGAATTGTCATAGGGTATTTTTGGAAGGATGGAGACAGAGAGAGAGAGAGAGAGAGAGAGAGAGAGAGAGAGAGAGAGAGAGCACTGTTTGAAGTGTTTGTCTCACTGTAATTACTCCAGATTATTGAATGTTGTATGATCTACTCTATATTTTCCATAATGGCTTTTCCTGATTTGCGGGATCTCTTCTTTTGCTGTTTGCGTGTTTACAGGAAGTGGCTGTCTGGTGTAACTGCACCAGATCCTGGGGAAATTAAGTCAGATGCAGAGGCAGGGTCGTCCAGTGATGCAACACTGCCGTTCTGTGTGCAACGTTACCGTTAATACCCCCGGCGAAAACACAAAAAAGACTACAGTATTGACCGTTCTGCTAATAAATGCATGACTGCTCCGACAGTCGATAATCGAAACACAGAGCACCAGCATGATGTTTTCATATTGGGAACCACACAACAGCTCAATTCTCAAGCCCAAAAATTGATGAATACAAATACAGAGCGACGCAACAAGAGATCATCCGGCAACCAAACAAACCTGGGTCTAATGCACTGAATAGTCCTAAAATACGCAGGCCAGACAAAGCAGTGCAAGCACATAATGTTACAAGGTACATGCATTGCAGAACAAAGATTAAGTGTAACCAAAGATACACAGGGTTATAGCTGCACACTTGTGCATGTGCTCGCTCAGCCCAAGAACACACGATCATGATGATAGAAACAATCCGGGGGAAACACGCTAACACCGAAGTAAGCATCAACACGTAAATAGTGCAGCTCTGAAAAAATTACATTGACATGAACATTGGTGTGTCGAGTAGTGTCAGGCTTGAATAATCATCCAACCAAGACTTCATCAGGTCCCAGACGCTGAGATTGCACGCCGAATGTGAAGTGCATCTAGCCTTGAACCTGTCGCACAAGGCACACATATATGGCAAAATGACATCCACTCTGATTATTTCCAGAGGCCAATCATGACAGAACACAGAAATGAAACCACGGGCTCGACCAAGTAAACGCAAAGGAAGTTAGTCAAAATAATCCATGCAGTGCTCTTTTAATTGCAGCGCTGATTGCAGTGTTGCGTCATAGCCCGATACCCGCTGAGCACAGACACAACTCCATTCGTCAGGGGCAAGACATACTCTTTTGGAATAAAGTCATAAAGTACAGCGTTCCAATGACATTACGGACACCTCGTGTAAATGCATGGTCTGTTAATCTGGCCGACTCCGCCACGCATGAGAGTGTGTGCATGTACCGTAAAGTACCGCCAGAGCGCCCCGTCTCGCGAGAGCGCCCCACCTTGATTTTACAGCCAAGGGAGGAAAATTGTATGGCAGAATGCTACTAAGTTTGTACGATGTGAGAACCTTCGTGTACTAAGGTCACACTTGGTATGCTTTTATGTGGAGCTCGAAGGTAAGCTGGGTACGGATTGACTGCACAATGTGCAATGTTCGTACAAGGTCCGTGTCGTATGACCTACAGACAGGAATCCACCTCCACAAGGCGGCCACGAAGGGACGAGATGGTGGGGCGCTCTGGCGGTACTTTACGGTACATGCGCGCGCTTGCGCGCGCGCGCACGCGCACACACACACACACCATGTATTCGGTGCGTATGGTGTACCAGTTGCGGGATAATGAAGATGGAATCATTATCATGATGTTACATGTACATCTACAGTGTATGTTTGAGTGTAAAGTAAATTTTATTTTATTGCACATTTCTTCAACACAACTAATTACTTACTTCACATGTTCGCATTTCTCATAATCGATCCACCTGCACTCCGTATCAGTCGAGGAAAAATTCTCCCAGATACATGTATATACTAGTCACCACAGCCATGTGATGACATTGGGATGGGCCCCAAGCACGATTGCACTCTCTAGTTACAATAAATTTGGCCAGATTATCTGTGAAGACAAAATGCAATGCATAGCGGCAATCGATGGATGAAGAGAGAGTTTGTGAATACCCATATCTTTCCACTTGTTCAGGAGCTTACCTTTTGGAGTTCACATCGTTTACACGATCTCTCATGCTGTCTTGCACCTTGGTTTTGTTGACCATGGATACGCCAACTCAGAAAACAATCTACAGGAGCTACTAATGCAGAGCGTTTTTCACGCTCGATCTCGGCGATCTACCTTGTCACGCCAATAAAATCCTCCGTGACACTGGCTACAGTCACAAGAGACGTCTCAGTAAGGTAATGAGCACGACAACATCGTCGAGATCAAGGACAAAGAGAAAACAAAACACTCACTGAAAACAGCAAAGAAGAAACGAAGAAATGTACACGATTCCTATAATGTTGCCACTGACAACTGGGTCGGTGGAGACGACGCTACTTTTGTTTGTCCCCAGTGGGATCGTTGTTATGCGTATCGAAGGAACTGTGACGTCATCACTTAACAGCCCCATAGTAGAAGCACAGTCTTTAAGTGGAAGAACGATGCGACACGCGATGCGACGCGATCTGCGATGGATGCGTGCGATGCGAACTCGCGAAATACCATTCACAGAAGAAGTCAGCGATGCGACAAAGTTTTGCTGATTTGGGTACGTCACCATGACATTCGCGCGGTTTGACACAACTTCTAAAAATTTATAGGCAACTCTTGCACCTTTGTACAACTTTGCTGTAGAAAAGGTCAAAATCGTACACCAAATCGCTTGTCGCATCGCATCGCATCGCAAAAGTTGAGCCAAGCTCAACTTCTGCGATGGCCCAGTTGCGGCAGTTGCGTGGGCCGCGACATGGCTGCGATTTGGGGTTTTCCCGGTTTCGCGCCTGTCGCATCGCGTGTCGCATCACAAAAAAGCTTCTGTGAATCCCGCTTTATACCTTTCGTCTACATTTTTATATTTTGCCCTCGATTCTTTGCGATTTGTAAAAAAAACACTTTTTGCAAACATCGCCGCCCCGCGCAGGCATCGTCTCGCAGTCTCGCACTGCTCGTTCTGGATGGACGCAACTACAACCCGGCGCGTTCGGACCGCGCCTTCTCTTTTATTCTGCATGGTGCATTATGCGCTACACAAGTCCATGTCATGACGTCATGTGATCGACTTGAGAATAAAAAATATTTTGCCATGAAAATGCAGGATTAATCGATTATTATGTGAGCTCATGAGCAGCATGCAGCGAAGCGACTTGCAAATGCAAAGAATGTATTTCTGACTCAATCTAAACTCTGAGTTTGAGAGCAAGATCAATTTCCTAACTGTTTGGCCTTTCAAGGTCCCCAGCATCACTCAAATTGGAGATATAACACCGCTTTTTGGTTATGCTGCCGCTGTTGTTAGGAAAAGGTCGTTCGCATGAATAGTTCGTGATCGAATAGAAGATGGGCGACAAGAGGAAATTACAAGGTCAGCCAGCTTTTGCTGTTTTGTATTTGAAACACTACACAGTTTCGTTTATAGCGCCACACCGAGGTTCTCATCTCTATGTTTGGCTTGTAGGGGGTAAATGGAATCATTATGTAGAAGCCATTCGGTAACATATTGTTGCCGGCCTTAGCTTACCCTCTGACGCAGCCCGAATGCCATTGTTTTCTGACTGAAAATTGGCGAAATAATTACTTGTGGTTTCGGGTATTGTTTTGTCAACTTTCCATACCCTTTTCTGAAATTGACTTCCAGTGTAGATACGTTCTGCTCCACAATGCCCGGCCGCCCAGAGACGTCTGTCTTGTGTTTGCCCTGTGTATGTACAGTTTGTTTAGTTCTAGGTACTGTTCATGAAACATAGTGTTCAAGTTGTGTTTGTGTACATATGTTATGTGTGTGCGTGTGTGTGTCTGTGTGCGTGTCTGTGTGCGTGCGTGTGTGTGCTTGTGCGCGTGTGTGCGCCTGTGTGTGTGTAAGTAAGTAAGTAGGTGTGTGCACTTGTGTGGCTGTAAATGCGTCTCATGACAACTGCATGTAGCGGTGGAGTACTGTATACACACGCACGCATGCACAAACACACGCGCACACACACACACACACACGCGCACACACACACAAACACACACACATGCAAACACACGCACACACACACACACGCGCGCGTACAAGTTCTACGCACGCTCGTAAAACGAGGCAGGCAAACGGACGGTGCTGTGATTGAGTTGCTTGTCTACCTGTTCACGCCTGACCTCGGGCAATCGGAGCCGTGCTGCTCAATGAAATCCCATCAAGCAAGTGAATACCACGGCAGGCACCGTGCAGCCCTAGACCTGCGATCACTGGATGGCGAGCAGGTGCAGGGCGCAAACTTGTCTCCCGCGACCGGGATTTCATTGAGCCGCACTGTGCATGGTTATACAGTGAAATCTGTCTAAGACGACCGCTTCAAGGGACCTTCAAAACGTGGTCTCTCTCACCAGGTGGTCTCACCATCCAGGGTCATTTGACTGGAAAAAAGCATCCCTTGGTCCTGGTTTCAGTGGTCTTCTAGGACCAGGGGTCGCCTTATCCGAGTGGTCGCCTTATCCGAGTGGTCACCTTGACAGGTTTTACTGTATATCCTATGCATCCGGAAATGTTGCGGAATAAGTTGCAAGGTAAAATACCACAAATTGCGGGGAATGCTGCTGATTATAGGGATGTTCCGCGTAACGTAATTACTAATTACGTTAGTAGAAAGCGTAGTCGATCTATGGAAAGTCTTACGTACACTGCGTGCGGATCTGTGTTCCGCCGTACGGAGCTTTCGAATCACGTAGCTGCCCTTGCGGCAACTCGGGACACGACAGCGTACGACCGGGTCGATCTGGGGAGAGAGACGTAAAGTTGTACCCCAATACACTTACGGAGCACGTCCCTTTTTGAGAGCCCTACCTACGTACTGTACGTGGACAACTTTCCGTAAGTGGAGTGGAAACTCGCAAATTCACGCGTTTTTCCCGCCCACTTACTGCTAGTGTATGTTTACGATTCTCAAGTTTACTTAGTAGTGCGAAACCTCTCTATTGTCCGAAAGCGTGTATCGTAGTAAAATTGCGTAAACTGGAACCAATTTTTGTAGCGTACGTGCACATGTAGTACGAGTTGTACAGAGTAAATCCTGCATGGCAAAGCAGAAGGTGTGCTTCACTGGGGACAAGTGATTGGCTGTGCATGTACATAAACTTGATTTGCGACTGTGGTCGACTACCTGACAGGAGCTTGCAAAACAACTTTCCTCCATCCCCGAACAATGCTTGATGGAACTGCTGTGCTCGTTCCTTAGGGGCCGTCCGTAAATATCGAACATTTTTCACCAAACGAATTATTTTAGTTTAGACCCAACCCCTCCCTCCCCCTCAGAACGTAAAAAAATGTTGACATGCATGCATGTACATGTACAACACAAGTTGCAAGTGTGTCATTGCTCCAATGGCCATGTACATGCGTCAATGTTTTCTGAAACGAAATTGGTCAACCCCCTCCCACCCCATTACGAAATTATTTCGTTTTGTGAAAAAAATTCGATAATTATGGACGACCCATTAGTAGAGGTGTGTCGAGCCTTATTTTTTTTACTTTTCAGCTGCTGGTTTGCCCAGAAACTTCCCCATTCCGGCGTCGATCTCACAAGTAAACCAGTGACGAGCTTGAAGAGCTAAACAACATCGAAGAAAGACTCGAGTATCGCGGGTGCTTTTCAAGGCGTCACGGACAGTTTTCAACAATGCCACGGATGTTTTTTCCCCGAATATTGCGGATATCGCGTGTGCATGTGTTTGTGCGTGCATGCGCATGTATGTTGGTATTTTATGTGGGTGGGTGTGTGGGTGGTTGTGATTGTGCATGCATGTGATGTGTGCATACGCGCTCACGCATGTTATGTTCAGGTGAAATTGATCGCTGTCTAAAGAAGGTGTCCGAAGGGGTCGAACAGTTTGATGATATTTGGCAAAAGGTAGGTGAATTGGTTTAGCGTTGGCTAGTCAGGTCATACATATACATTGCGTGTACTAGTAATCACAAAGGCACACAATGAAAACCTTGGGCAAATTCCGTTGTGACTCAGAGTTTCATGGCTGAACCAATCATCAGACAACGATCGGTATGTTATGGAGAACGACAGCCGTTCAACTACCCCAGTGTATTGCCCATCTCGTATAGAAACCCGTTTTTGAATACAAGCCTGATTTACTTGATGCACTGTTGGCACAGAAGCCTGGTATTAGTGTTGATACACTTAGAAACACCGGGTTTGAATAGAAGCCTAATCAGAGTAGAATCCTAGCCCCAGCTTCGGTTTCTACGGGAATACGCCTGGCTTTGATACGTGACATTACGGAATCTCAAGGCTGCCCCTGCCGTTGTATGGTGTCAAGTGGCGTTCGAACTTAGAAATGAGTGCGGATTATCGGCATAACATGTGATATGTGTATGCAGTGCGCATTCTGTGCCCTTTCTTACGGCTCGCTCATCTCCACCACCTGCTAACTATGAGCATGTTTAGCGTGCTCCAGTGGTACTGACTGTGTGGTAGAGGTACGCCCTTACCAGGGTTGTATGCAAAACTTCACCACGGACGTCTATGTTGTCAATGAGTGTGTGTATGCTCTCTCTCTTCCTCTCTCTCTCTCTCTCTCTCTCTCTCTCTCTCTCTCTCTCTCTCTCTCTCTCTCTCTCTCTCTCTCTCTCTCTCTCTCTCTCTCTCTCTCTCTCTCTCTCTCTCTCTCTCTCTCTCTCTCTCTCTCTCTCTCTCTCTCTCTCTCTCCGTGTCTCTCTCTCTCTCTCTTCATAATGGGTAGTCTCAGGTTTTAGTATGAGTCGTCTGATGATTGCAGTAGCATGACACTTTAAGTTTCGACAAATCCAAGTTGGGCCTCTTTCTCTTTCTTCGTTTGAAACGCTCTACACTTTGTGCATTGAGCACTTTCCGGGCCATTGCCAAAATTACTCCTTTGTATCTATCTATCTATCTATCTGTTTATCTATCTCAGGTCCATAGTGCCACACATGCCAATCAAAAGGAGAAGTATGAAGCCGACCTCAAGAAAGAGATTAAAAAGCTTCAGGTGCCAGTTCGCTTCCGCTGCTCCTCGTGCTGCTCCTGGTGCTGTTGCTGCTGCTCGGTGTTGCTGCTTCTTCTCTAGCTGCTACTGGGAGTTGTTGTTGCTGCTGCTACTGGGTGTTGTTGTTGCTGCTGATACTGAGCATTGTTGTTGCTGCTGGTACTGGGCTTTGTTGCTGCTGCTGGTACTGGGCGTTGTTGTTGCTGCTGGTACTGGGCTTTGTTGCTGCTGCTGGTACTGGGCGTTGTTGTTGCTGCTGCTACTGGGCGTTGTTGTTGCTCCTGCTGGGTGGTGTTGTTGTTGTTGCTGGTACTGGGTGTTGTTGTTGTTGCTGGTACTGGGCGTTGTTGTTGCTCCTGCTGGGTGGTGTTGTTGTTGTTGCTGGTACTGGGTGTTGTTGTTGCTGCTGCTGCTACTGCTTTTATTGCTCTATGTTGACTCTCAGTGAAACTTTGATGGCATTTTGATTCAGTGTTCGGTTCATAATATATTATGACCCGCGTTCACCAAAAGCGAACCAGAGCTTTCGTCAAGATGTTGAAAGTGTCAAAACATTGATGTCCTTCGCGGGTTTTTTTCCCTAGTGAACAGATGACCTCGAGATTGAAATTCAAGGATGTCATTTTCGACATTTTCACCATCTTTCTACAAAGCTTAGCGGCTCGTTTCCGCTGAGCGCTGCCCATATATGGGTATGAGTTACTAACTTACTTGTAGTAGTGCGTGAGACCCGTGTGCAGAATTAACACATTTGGACGAATTTTTAGAGCACGCTGACAGATAATGGCTGCGTAATGTGAATCTGGCAGCTGTTTTTCATTCATCTCCTTCCTGTACTGGCTGATAGTAGTGGCACTCGCAAGCAAGTGATATGATCGCTGGGAAATGGGATGGCCTGACGAAAACACGGCTGACTCTGAATGGGATGGGCTTCCAGCAGGGCTTGTGCTTGCTCTACGCGCCACCACAAACTGTATGTAGTTGTCTGCTGTGATGACGTAATGGTTTCTGATATTGCCGTGCAGCGGTTACGGGACCAGATCAAGACATGGATAGCGTCGAGCGACATCAAGGACAAGCGAACACTGCAGGACAATCGCAAGATCATCGAAACGGTGAGTGCCTGCCTCACGGCTATGAGCCTATGACTGGAGATGCAAACTTGATACCCATGATGTCATCATGATGTCATGGCCCTACAGCCAGGGCCACGAGCCAGGGTACCCGGAAGAGTGCAATGCACCGTTCAGGCGAGTGCCACTTCCACTTATAGGTACATGTACATTGTAGTTCTGTGCTGACAGAATTGAGAAGAAAAAGGAGTGGGATGATGGTTTAAGTGTCTTTTCAACTGACAGCTGCTCTACACTGCAGTGACTGTACCTGGTTGCTACTCACTGTACCTGGTTGCTACTCACTGTACCTGGTTGCTACTCACTGTACCTGGTTGCTACTCACTGTACCTGGTTGCTACTCACTGTACCTGGTTGCTACTCACTGTACCTGGTTGCTACTCACTGTACCTGGTTGCTACTCACTGTACCTGGTTGCTACACACTGTAACTGGTTGCTACTCACTCAATGCGCTGAGTGGCGTGAACAAATACAAGCCCCCTCTCAAATAGAGCCCGTCTGTCGGAGGGAATCAAACTAATAAAGCCCCGTCTCGTGTAAAAGCGCAGTGCTATAATCAAGCGTGCAAAGTCCGTACAATGCAGTGCAGTACATGAGCCGTGTACGGTATGCAAGTGCATCGTGGTGCACTTATTTATTTGTTGAGTATGAAAAGGACGGCGGCATATTCTCCAGACATTACAACGGACAACGGGAACAGGTTAGGTCGAACAACATTTATTAGGGAGACGAAGAGACCAAGACGAACGACGAAACGACTACATTGTGGGGGGGGGGGGGTGCACACAACCTGCAGTCACGGGTGCTTACCGTACAACAATCGAGTGCAGTCACGGGTGCTTACCGTACAACAAATCGAGTGCAGTCACTGCTTGTACTGATCAGCATGATAGGGTGAAACAATCGATGTTTCTATTAGAAAATAAATAAAGCCCCCTCTCGAATAAAGCCCTCTCTCAACTACAGCCCCTTCAATATGTCTTCTGGAAAAATAGAGCCGCGGGGCTTCTATTCGCGCCTATACGATAGTTGGTATGACGTTTTGGGCTAGTCCCCCATTCTCCAAACCCGACTGACTTGACCCGAAAAGATTCTGGTGACAAATTCTGGCGACAACTCCGTTGGTGTTGCTTGACTCTATTTCTGCTCACGTCGATCCGTTGCTTCAGTCTGAATTAATTTTGAAATCGATGTGGATTTGTACACTAGCACGAGTGTTTACAACGTTGCCGTGTGTGGTGCTAGATGCATAGCTGTAGTACCTGTGGTCTGATTGCTGCGTTCTTTTGGTTTGTTCGGTCGACCGCTGCATTGTAGCAAATGGAGCGCTTTAAAGTCGTGGAGCGAGAAACGAAAACCAAGGCATACTCTAAAGAAGGTAAGGTTGTATGTATGTGTGTGTGTGTGGGGGGGGGGGGGGGGGCATGCGTTCGTTATGCCCTTCCAGGGTAGTACTCGTGTTTTCAGTCTGCTGCTGGCCGGTAATCCCCAAGTGATGCTTGTTCTACGTCAGCTCCTCGTGATTTGATTATAGTGTATGTGTATGGATGTGTGTATGCCGCAGGTTTGGGAGCAGCTGCGAAAGTTGATCCTGCGCAGAAAGAGAGAGATGAGCTTCGCTCATGGCTCACGTCTTGTATCGACCAGCTGACGCAGCAGGTGTGTATGTGTACACCTGTGGGGTGTGGGTGTGGGTGCGTATACCTGTGGGGTGTGGGTGTGGGTGCGTATGCATATGGGCATTTATAGGTGTTGAGTGTTTCTCTTGGCTGGATAGCACCTGAACTCTGTCATTCGCCAGTTTACTCTGCTTCAATATCTGATCTCTCTCTCTCTCTCTCTCTCTCTATTTCTGTGTTCTCCCCTTGTTCTTGTTCTTCCTTGCCGATTGCACAGTCTGATCAGTTTGAGACGGAGGCTGAGCAGCTTGGTAATGCCAAGAAGAGCAAAAAGGCAGACAAAGAGGTGAGCTTATCATTGTTGAGCTGTTGTCACATGAACTGTTGTCAGTCAGATGAGCGTGTTCTTAGAGAGGTTCTGCTACACGGAACTACGTACCAAACTCCGTGTCAACTGCAGTGAAGTTTGACACGGATTTTTCGTACATTGCACCGGCTCTGCTGTACGTAGCATGCTCGTAGCATGCACGAACACCCCGCCACATGTACTCTGTACGCTCAGTTTTCACACGGAGTCCAGTCCGTGTGAAGCTCGCTTCACACGGAAACGGTATGAAAAAATCCGTATGAAACTTGATCCCGTACCGCGGCGAGGTTTCCATACGTACTTTGACACGTTTTACCGTGTGGCAGAACCTCACTATTACCGGCAGGGGACCATTGCTACTACCACTGCTTCCGCTATTCTTTGCTATTAAAGACGGCTACTACTACTTTATGTAAACGGTGTCAATCGATAAAAGCAAAGTGCAATAACAAAAATTAATGAAAAGAAGATTCAATAGTGAGAATAACATTGAAGAAAGATGCGAACAAGTTTTTGACAACCCTCATCAGGAATCGTCGTTGTACTTATGGACAATGCAACACGAATGAACTGTATTTTGGAACAAATCATCCGAATTAGCTTCCATCCGGCACTAGACACCCTTAGCAAACAACGGTAACGCTATTTTTTTACGGTACTCGTACCTTGATCACCCAAATAGCGTTGAAGCTGCAGCGTGTAAACGTTATGGGGGCTGATTTATCGTTGTGACCAACGGTACGTGTTTTAGCCAAATATTGCATAGTCCGTACGCATTTCACCTTGTATCTTGTATATGGTGACAGAAATGGTTGTACCGCGCGAAATCAAAGCTATTCTCGTGGCAACAGCGTACTAAAAATAGCGTGCATCTTGCTAAAGGTCGAACCCAAATCACGGTATTTTCCCCCTTACGATAATACCGTTACAACATAACGTTTTTTTGCTAAGGGTGTCTACTATCTAGAATGGCCAACATGTGCGGTTAAGTTTTGTTCCGCTTGATGCGCGTGATTCTCGTCCTTGTCGTGGCCGTCCTCCAAAATGTGCAATGCGGTCTACTCTTTGATCATAATCCTCTTTCAATGTAGATGTGCCTACTTGCCTCTCCTCCACCTCCTCCTCCGCGCGTGTGGGGCTGGGGTCAGCCTAGAGCACTGTGAAAGGCGGAGACAGAACCACCTGAAAGCCACCCAAACTGAGGAAAGATCTGTTAGCGTCTGGAAGAGTCACACAAAACCAAGTGAAACGGCGCACCGGAGAGCACTGAAGACGTACAAGGACGATGAGAGAAGTGACAACAACAATGGATGTTAGAAAATGTGGAAGACAGCGTAAACAAACCAAGTCTTTGTATACCGTAGAAACTGGAGTGAGAAGCTCAACGGAGAGCGCTCCTGGAGGAGATGCAGCTGAAGGGGAGTGAACGTCGCTCCTGCAACGCCCAGTGCCAGGAAACGTGGCAGGCCACGGGAAAAGGCAGAGACGGGTTCTGGTGATGTTGCACAGAGGAGAGATGATAGGGCACTGGAGGTGACAACAAGGAAAGGAGCCGATAGTCGCACTTTATCTGTCAAACACCATCTGTCAGCGCATGCTAATGGTCGTGAGTTGTATTGTGAAGGTGTTTTCTCAGTACTGTCATGAGGTAGAGGTGCACTACATTTGACCATGTTAGCAGCGTTATACAGACGCGGATCATGAGCTTTGTGTACAGAAAGAAAATGTATTGTCTCTGCAATTGTTTGGTGCTATTCCTCGTCGAGGTGTGAACAATGCCACATAATTTGTTCACTACGTTGTTGTTGTCGTTGTTTATTTCTCCTTCTAAAACTTGATAAAATATCTTCCTTGTCACGGTTGTTGTATCACAATACATTTACGCTATTAGGCCATGGTAAAAAATAAATTTGATTCTCAGGTCATGAGCCTGTGAAAATCGGTGCGAGCGAGCGATTTTTTATTTTATTTCCCACAATTTTTTATTTCCAAAGATAGGGTCACACATATATGTACGTCACAAGTTATTATAATTATTTTATTTTTCAGGCCAGGGAGTAGAAAAATACCAGTATTTTACTACTCCCTGATTCACGCCTTTCGCATTGGCCGTTTTCATGTGCGCATATGCATGCATAGAAATAAAAAAAATCATCGGTGCGCCGCCAAAAATCGGTGCACGCGTACTTGAGAATCAAAGATAATTTTTACCTTGGCCTTAGTTGTAACTCGTTCCAACATATCTCCGAAGCAAACCATCATCATCCAGTAACAATCGACATTCTTTGTTCCCGTGGGACTTTAGCTTGTGCTCGTTTTCGCTGCGCTTACCTTCCCCTCTTTGATCTTTCGTTAACCTAGAACCTTCCGAGTTGTAAGGCTGTTGGTTAGCGCTTCGGAGATGATTTTGGAGTTAGCTAGGTGTCAGGACGTCGAATGTCTCGGTACTCTGTCCGTTTTGTGCCTATTTGTTGCACTTTCTGACTGTATATAGTATCTAGTTACAGTGGTGGACAGTTACTCTTAACTCGTATCCATGTGTTTCTTTCCTTCCGCTATTAGTTGTAGTCATTTTTTGCTCATTTCAGTCATTCCCTGTATGATCCTGAAGAGAAGGGACGTAAGGTGACGTGTCTTCTGGACTGGATGCGTTCATTGCGGGGGTGCATTCGACTTGACTTGGCTTGTTCTAGAAGATCTAGAATGAATTAGTGTTTCAGCTATCACTGGTTTTTAATTACTGGTCTTACATCGACACGTGCGACACACTTCCACACTTGCCCTGCTCTGTCCAGCTGCCTGTACTCATATCTGATCATTTGCCTATCATTTATATTGTAATCTCCGTATTGACCACTCTATGGTTTGGTTATCTTACAGCGGTTGGATCGTATCGATGAGTTGACGAAAGGAGTTGAGCAACATCAGTTTCATATACAGAAACTTGAGGTGAGCTAAACAGCTGCCACCTCTATTGCTGTGTGCCGCCGCTGCTGCTGTCGGTCGTGGTGTCACTGCAGCTGTCGCCATTGGCGATGGTGGTGGTGGCGGCGGTGGTGTTACTGCTGCTGCTGCAGCTGCTGCCGCTGCAGCTGCTGCTGCTGCCGCTGCTGCTACTGCTGCTGCCGCTGCTGCTACTGCTGCTGCTGCTACTGCTGCTGTTGCTACTGCTGCTGTTGTCACTGCTGCTGTTGCTGCCTCCAGCCGCCACAGGTTCCTGTGGTGATAGCCATTAAGTCATTACTGGCTTGGGAACACATGTGGCACAGTTTTTCTCGTTCTTCTTCGTTTTTCCTGAATTGTCCAAACTCCCTGTGCTATATCAACCATTGATTTCAGTTGGGCATCCGTTATCTGGCACAGTCGGGACCAGACCCACGGTAGCGAGTGCTGGATGAAGAAAACATGCAGCAGCTCAGTGTGTTGTAATGTGTTGTACAAGACGCAATGAGCACGAATCCAAGCACTATTGTGAGCATTGACCTGAGAGATGTATATCCGTGGCAATGTGTGTAACAATGTGTTGTGCTTATGTATCTGTATGTGTGTTTGCTTTGCTCCGGATATGCCTGTTCAAATGTGTCGCCATCTGCCTGTCGGACGTTGTGTCTGCCTGTCGGATGTTGTGTCTGCCTGTCGGACGTTGTGTCTGCCTGTCGGACGTTGTGTCTGCCTGTCGGACGTTGTGTCTGCCTGTCGGACGTTGTGTCTGCCTGTCGGACGTTGTGTCTGCCTGTCGGACGTTGTGTCTGCCTGTCGGACGTTGCGTCTGCCTGTCGGACGTTGCGTCTGCCTGTCGGACGTTGTGTCTGCCTGTCTGTACGTGTGTATGGTGCCATTACACCACACTAGACAATCATGAGAATGCTGGACAACTGCAGCTTGGAACCTGATGCAGTAAGTCTTTCTATCTAGCTATCCATATCTCACACACTCTCTCTCTCTCTCTCTGTCTTTCTCTGCCTGTGTCTCTTCCTCTCTGTCTGTGTCTCTTTCTCTCTGTCTGTGTCTCTTTCTTTCTGTCTCTGTCTCTCTCTGTCTCCCTCTGTCTGTCTGTCTGTCTCCCTCTGTCTGTCTGTCTCTCTCTCTCTCTCTCTCTCTCTCTCTCTCTCTCTCTCTCTCACTCTCTCGCTCTCTCGCCCATTGCACCCACCCAGCAGTGTAAAGTACCATCATCACTACCATGTACTTTTGGCATCATGCGCTTGGATTTCGCCGCGGCGAAACCCATGCAGAAAATGTCCCTCTCACACTCTGGTGTGAGGGGTTTCTTGTTTACCCCTCTCTTCACATACTTGTTGTGCCCGGTCGTTGCCTATGACATCGTCGCCATCATGTCCATTACAGGACCGCGGAAACAGTTTTCGATTGGTTCAGTAGTATTGTGGCCTTTCATACGTTGTGTATGATATTGTGGGTACACATGCTCTCCATAATACTGTAATTAAATATACACATTTTCGGCAGCTATTTAATTTCGGCTATATTCGGCACCGACCCAGAACGCCTAAATTAAAACGCCGATGAAATTTTTCACAGCATCTATCGCACTATACCATGCCCTCTACCCCACGCCGAAAATAAATCGCTGTCGAAATGTCAAAAATCGTGAAGTGCCGAAATTTTGCAGTGCCGAAATTTTTGTATATTTACAGTAGTAAACATGTGTTGGTGACCGGTCCGGTTGGTCCGGTGATAACCTGACCAACCGGACCGGTTCTTACTGGCCTGCATAATCTTATAGCTAGGGCTGACCCGGGTAGCATTTTCTTCGGGTATCGGGCTCAGGTAGTTTTCCACGGGTAGCGTCGGTACCCGATCGGGTATTGTTTCCATGGTAACACCACAATGCACCCCTTAAAGGGGAAGTCCGGTGAAAAATTTAAATTTCACAGTCCGTAGAGTTCGGGGCGCTGAGTCGAATGGTCTTTGTCCGAGGAGGCTGTGGCCTATGGTTCGTCAGATACGCCCAATCGAACATGTGCGGATTTGAGCGCGCCTCACCCAGATCCAGGTGATGACGTCAAAGCGTGCAGCCAGGTAGCCACACCATCTAGATGTGTACAAAACGGCCATATTCGGAGCGCGTTCGATTGGGGAACCGTTTGTCGCAGCTTCTTCGGACCAAGACCATTCGATTCAGTGTTACAAACACTACGTACTCTGTGATTTTCAGCTCGGTAAACCTCGAGGTTATACCGTATTTTAGCCGTTTCCGAGTTGGACTTTTTCCGTCGACATGCACTGGCCTCTACGCACTACGGCTCTAGCAATGCGCTGCGTGCCTGTACTCAGTAGACTGTGTAGTCAAGAAACTCATCACACACGGAACTACTCCCGCACTGCCGCCGTGCTGGGGTAGCTACAACAAGACTCGAGTCACAAGTCAAGACTCAGAAAACTAGTCAACACACGGACTTGTCATGATGTACTACACTCGTATCAGTCGTATTGTTCAGTCATGTAGTCAGAGAACGAGCGTTTCTCCTTGCCGGTGCCGGTGCACCGGTGGTTGTGCTTTGAGAAAGAAAAATTTAGTTTTCCGCTCC